GGCGGGGCTCTCCTCTCCAACATTGTAAAGGAGTCTCACCAGAGCACAGATAAGTCCCCGCCAGCAACGATAGCTACGCTAACCTCATGAACTTTAGAAAAACAAAAGAAAGGTTACACGATTTGGACAATTTTGCTGTTACACCCAGCGCGCGCGCGCACACACACACACACACACACACACATATATATATATATATATATATATATGCGTGTGTGTTGTGTGTGCGCGCGCGTGTGTGTGCGTGTGGAGTGGCTATACCGAGACTCACGAGCCACATGCGATTCTTTGATCCTTAATATGCGACTCGTCGAAATATGTTTGCTGAGCTCTTTCTTCATCACAGTCAATATAAAAGGCAAATAAGAAAGTTTTCCAGCTTTATAATTTTTTTTTTTTACTGGGTATGAATAAAGACCCCATTGAATTAAAACGGAAGTTTAATGTTAATGAGTACGTAACAAAAACGTGTATGTAAATTTTATTCATGTCTTGCGGCTCTCAAACATCTGAACTTTATCGTATGTGGTTCTTAACGTTACGCAAGTTTGGCCACAATTGGAACGGAGTTTGGAATAAAAGTGAGTAGATTACAAAAACCTCAAAATTCAAATAACCGAACCCGTGCATCTATTCCGAACGGGAAGAATAGGAAAGGGAATTAAAATAGGTAAGTGCTGATTGAGTAAAAAAAAAAAAAACGTTTTAATAGTACTCATTCAAATATGGATTTGGGGCATTTCACCGTGGGGTAATGTTTACTTCAATGTAAAATTACATTTTGTGGCACAAGGCCAAATGGGAAGTTGGGAATGCTGGTGTCATTGTCTATCCTTCAACTAGCTAATCTGATTCACCACCTATTCACGGTAACAATTGACTCAATTACCACAAGAACTCATCCTTCCATACCCAATACTACATTTACCATAACACCGCCTATTCGCAGGGGACCTATTTAAACCCTATTATTTAAAAAAAGAATTAATCTGTAAAATTCTGTTTTTATTATTCTTCTCAAATGTTTTTTATATAATAGTTAAAAATATATGAGCAAATGATGCGGTGATGAACCCAAGAACGAAAATAAAAGTGACAAAACATTCAAACAAAAATATGTGTTCATAAAACCTGTCCGCCCCACATACAAATAAGAATGGCCGCTGTATGTTGCCGATAAGCAAAATGAAGCTCACTCGCCACTGGCGAGCAAAGGACAAAATGAAAAACGAAGTGAATAAATATCAAAGGTTGATTCACTCAAGATAAAGAGGGCATAAAACCAAACTGGGGAGATTGGGAATCTTAACAAGGACCATAACAAAAGATAACGCCGGGGGCAGGTTGGGGTCGACAATCACATTAACTACGCTTGAAAATCACCCTTCAAATAAGGATTTGTACCACGATGCTTTAACGTTGTTGGTTTTTTATTGATTTGACTGACTTTTATTCTCTGTAACTTTAATTTCAAGGGCGCGTCATTTATTTCTATTTTCGACCATTCTTCGAATATTGACTTAAATCTAGATTTACGGCGAACTGATTCGCTGCCTCTGTCTTTTGTCTGTTTCATAATTCTTCTGTAGATTTCTTGTGCAGAAAAAAGACAATCAATCTTTTCTTCCATGTTTTAATTCCGTCATTACAATTTGACACCAATGTTTTTTTTTATTTTGAAATATTCCATTTCACGTGGCACAACGTCAAAGTCGAGGTGGGAATTCGGTCATCACTGACTATCCTACACCTAGTTAATCTGGTTCACAACCCATTCATTCATTGGAATTTACTCATACGTCACAAGCACTCATTCATCGGCTTTAAATCCAAAATATACCGTAATACCATCAATTCGCACAGATCCTGCAAAAACACCCATGACATGAGGATATATGTTTTTTTTTTGTGGGGGGGATTCTTTAATATAAAATTACTAGCAGTATAACCCGTCTTTGGCCGGGTCTTTCATTATTGGGAATTTTTGCCGTTCAGTGGTAGCAGTTTAAGTTTAAAGTCAGCCGACCCGAAAATCAATATTAGTAACAAGAATTGGGTGGAACTGAGGCACATCCCCAAATGGGGGTTAACAATTTAAATTGGGGGGGGCTGAAAAGGGAACTGTATAATAATAAATAATATTGTAATAATTTAAACTAATTATTTTTATTAAAGTATTTTTGAAAGATATATATCCAAGAACAGATAACAAATAGTAAAATGGTGCTGAGAGTTATAATGGACAGGAAGTAGTGGAGAGCCATTGTCACCCACAATTTGGACTCAAAGAAGAATTATCTAAGAAACAAAAAAATTAATCAAGATCGGATGAAAACTGCGGAAATGCATAAACAACATCTGATCACACGCACACGCACACACATTTTGTGAATTACAGATATAGATGGCGTGACATGACATGAAATTAGACGGGAAAAGAGTTGTACCCAATAACGAAAATAAAATACAACAAAATATTCCAGGTAAAATTAAAATACGTTAGTAGGACCCATCAACCCGACAGAAAAATAAGCATGTCCACTGTATACTGACACTAAGCCGAATCAAGCAGCTCACTCACTAGGGACAAGGAAAAGACAAAATAAATTACGTTGTGTAGAATTATCAAAAAAAAAAAAAAAAAAAAAAAAAATACGGGGACATGCATCATAACAAAAGAGAACGCCGGGAGTAGGCAGGGAACACCACTGTCTATTTTCCAAGATCTCCACCAGGCAAGATGTGAAGCAAGGCCAATTTTTAACGTGGGGTATTCCGGCCCAGAGGCACGGGCAAAAATTTCTCTCAGACGCCATATACACAAGATCGGGCTTGTCTACCTCCCCAGACGAGACTCTGCCCTTCGGCATAGCCTCGTCTGGGTTCCTCTCCTCCCGGAAGCAGTGAGTTCGACAAAAGAGGAAGAGAAAACTTCCTCCTCGTCTTAACCGTAAACCTAACCCTGAACACCACTGTTAATAAGTATAAAAAAGAACTTCAGATACTTGATGCTAATGACATGCACACTATTGGGTATAAATGTTCACTCCGAAAAGATCAAAGTGCCTCGCCACCCTGGCATTTCTGCCTAGGTTATAATGCCACTTTACTCGCCCTTCAGGCTGAGATCAAAGTATAGTATATGACTCTGCTCCCTCTTAAAATTTGGAGTAAAGGTTCGTCCCGGGAATTCCAAATTTATGTCAGCACCTCCCTCATAGCACTGAAGAGAGAAAGTTGTTTCACTATGTCGTACTAGACAGTTTTTCTCGCCAGAATCTATCTTACGTATATATAAGTCTACTATCACCGAAGTTAAGCATCGTAGAGCCAGGTCAGTTCTTAGATGGGGGATCGCTTGGGAACACCTGGTACTGTAAGCAGACCCCGACTACCGGAGTAAACATCCATTTTGGGCACCTCGAGGTGGGGTAATGGTTAGCAAGCTTGTCTCGCTAGAACAATTACGACTTGGAAGTGAGTCCGATCCTCACTGGGTGCCCCCTAATTTCGACCTTGTGCTACATCTAAGCTACGCTTGGAAAATCACTATATAAGTCTGCTATTCATCCTCGCTTTGAATATTGCTGCAGGTCTGGTGCTATATTTAGAGATTCTTGAGACAATTCAAAAAATAAAAAAAATAAAATAAAACTGAAATGTTATTCATCTTGCCCTGGTGTCACTTTCCAATCGTCGTAACCGAGCTTCCTTATGCCTTTTCTATAAATACTCCCATGCCAATTGTTCTGATGAACTTTCCGCTATGGTATCTACCTTTTATGAATTTAAGTGCAGTACTAGATTGGTGCCAAGGTCTGATCATTTCACAGTTGAAACGGCTAGAACCCTGAGTTCTATGCTAACAATTTCAAATATCGCACTTCTTGCTTGTGAAACTTTCTTCCGGCTTCTTACTTCCCAGTCAACATTGATCTTCAAAACTTTAAATGCAATGTCAATCGTTATCTTCTGTCTTCTTAATTCTTGTTCTCTTTCCTTAATGGTTTTTTTTTTTCATATTCTTTTACACTCAGTAACCCCTTGCGTCCTAGTGGCTTTATTGCTTTGCTTGGGGTGAAAAGATAAAAAGAAATACTAATACTGAGAAAGGTCACAAGAATTGGCAATTTTCAGACTTGGCACATATCTGCACCTGTCGGCAACACACATTAAAACGGCCATGTGTCAAGGGCTCGTCACCGTGGGGAAGTGAGTATATTTACTCACTTCCCCACGGTGACGAGCCCGACAGTGCTGAGTGCTCTTTTACGCGAACTAAGGGCTGGGATAAAAGTGTAGTATCTGTTGTTTCTTCCGCTTAAAATGATGAGCTAAATCTATTCCCTGTAGCATCTTTCTGATATCGCTGTTGGTGTATACAGACGCTAGTCTGCCAGTGATCTCAGAGGCGAAGCACCTTGGTAACTTAGGTCATATATATCCGTAGCTGTATCGGCATACGTTGAAAATGACCTCGGGTCACATCCTGCCCTAGTGGGGAGCTGGTTAAATCGTGCCATCAGCCTGGAATCTAAGTGTACTATTCATTCTCCTCACTGGCGTGCTTCGACCTTCCTGTGCTTCGAGAGATGTTTGAGAATATCAAGAGAATTTAAGAGAATACCAACTCTTTAGCAACATCTTCTTCATCCCACTAGAGAGGAGAATTTAGAGGATAGCAACACCATCGTGAGATTGGTCGCAGGGGCTGGGTAGTTTTTCTCTTTGGCCCTTATATAGGCGTATGGACACTCCACGTTAAACAAACCCGTGGGTAAACGAGAAACTGTTAAAGATCAGTCAAATATAAGTTATCTCTTCTTCTGAAATGTTATAAGAGGGGTTTAGCCCCTGGGGATACCAACTCCGGGAAACATCTTCCTTTTCTCTTTACACATCAGTAGCGGTTCAGTACTTCATTCCTGAGATCAAAATAATAGTATCTCTTCAAACTAATAGTCTCTCAAAGCTATCTATATATCTAGGTATTTTTGATTATGGCTGTTCCTATCTATCTATCTATCTATCTATCTATCTATCTATCTATCTATCTCATTCTGTTTGTATCTATCTATTTAATTCTGTTCGTATCTATCCATCTATCTCATTTTGTTCGTATCTATCTATCTATCTATCTATCTATCTATCTATCTATCTATCTAGCTCATTTTGTTTGTATCTATATTTTAATTCAGTTCGTATCTATCCAGCTATATCATTCTGTTCGTATCTATCTATTTATCTATCTATCTACCTATGTATTTTTGATGATGACTGTTTCTATCTATCTATCTATCTATCTATCTATCTATCTATCTATCTATCTATCTATCTATCTATCTATCTATCTCATTCTGTTTGTACCTATCTATCCATCTGTCTCATTCTGTTCGTATCTATCTATCTATCTATCTATCTATCTATCTATCTATCTATCTATCTATCTATCTATCTATCTGTTTGTCTAAAACCTTGATCCCCGTCACACACATAAGCGTTGAAATCGCTGAAAATGGCTCACAAGATTATCCTTCTAAGGCAGGCGCCTCAAGTTTTGCTCAATAAAGAAGCTCTTCAAACAGTTCTTGTAATTTTCTGTTACTATATTTACAATGCATATGATTTTTCTTTGTTGTAAATTGGAACAGATATTCAACGTTTATGACAATGCCATCTTTGCAAACGAAAAACCCTGCAAATATAGTCCAGATAGAATGATCCACACTTGAAAAAAATGAAACATATACAAAAGCAAATAAATATATATATATATATATAGAGAGAGAGAGAGAGAGAATCATAAAATCTTTTCACACATGCATTTCCTTTTTAATTTCTCGCCAAATTTATCACGGAATTACAAGCGAAAGAGGTATTTCAGAATTATCTATTTAACGATTGTTTTCATCTGTAGACACGGAATCTGGTAATGCGGAAACTCCAGGTTTTATTCTTGATTTGCCGTGGGATTTTGCATTAGGATTTGAAGAAAAGAAATTAAAAGCCTGCGCCATGTTTTAGCCATTCATTCGAAAATCAACAACGCTCTTTTGGATTGGGCACATTGATTCAGAACAAGTGGAAGGGAAAAAGCGATTGAAACTCGAGATCCGAAAAGCTTCTAACAATTCATAAATGTTTCCTCCAAATAATCAACGGGAAGAAGCCCTAGGTTCAAGTTCAAATTTATTACCTTTTAATGAACGCCCAGTGAACAGTGCCATCTTTTCTCGACACGCATTTCTTATACATCTATCACAATTTTCTTTTATCTATCTATCTATCTATCTATCTATCTATCTATCTATCTATCTCATTCTGTTTGTATTTATATTTTTAATTCAGTTCGTATCTATCCATCTATATCATTCTGTTCGTATCTATCTATTTATCTATCTATCTACCCATGTATTTTTGATTATGACTGTTTCTATCTATCTATCTATCTATCTATCTATCTATCTATCTATCTATCTATCTATCTCATTTTGTTTGTACCTATCTATTTAATTCTGTTCCTATCTATCCATCTATCTCATTCTGTTCGTATCTATCTATCTATCTATCTATCTATCTATCTATCTATCTATCTATCTATCTGTCTGTTTCTCTCTTTATCCCTCTATCCATAAACTTAAGTCAGTTTCATTCTATCCATCTCTCTCTTCTAACAACTATGTATTTATATCTTTATTTCTTTCTTTCTTATTTTGTCTGAATTTGTTTCTTTCTCGCTTTATTTCTATCGCAACCCTTTTCTTTCTATTTTTCTCCCTATCTATAAACCCAACTCACTTCCATTATACCCGGCTCTCTCTATCTCTCTTCCAACATCTATGATTTTATATATCTTTCTTTCTTTCTTTCTTTCTTTCTTTCTTTCTTTCTTTCTTTCTTTCTTTCGTTTTTAATCTGAATCTCTTCTTTCTTTCTTTCTTTCTTTCTTTCTTTCATTCTTTCTTTCTTTCTTTCTTTCTTTCGTTTTTAATCTGAATCTCTTCTTTCTTTCTTTCTTTCTTTCTTTCTTTCTTTCTTTCTAAGCCTTTTTGTTTCTAAGTGTGTTCTTCTCTGTGTCATTCGCTACATCCACTGCTTTAGAAAACTATATTTGTTTAAGATTCGAATATCTATCTATCTATCTATCTATCTATCTATCTATCTATCTATCTATCTATCTATCTATCTATCTATCTATCTCATTCTGTTCGTATCTATCTATCTATCTATCTATCTATCTATCTATCTATCTATCTATCTATCTATCTATCTCATTCTGTTTCTATCTATCTATCTATCTATCTATCTATCTATCTATCTATCTATCTATCTATCTGTTTATCTGGCTAGCACGGAATCCTATTAGTTGTTCTTTAGACATCTAATCCTCTTTGCCTCAATAATATCTAAAGCAGAAATTCAAACACAAACTAATATGATTTACAGTTTTTATCTAAATTTCTGAAAGCAAATGTCATTACTATTAGACATTAATTATTTCAGACCATGTGAATTCGACGAAATATGTGTCTATTTCGGTCGGCTCTTATCTACTTAGTTCAGTTTGTTCACAAGTCCATGAGTCCCCTACCGGCATTATATTGTCTTCGATATATGCCACTCTGTCAATATCTATCGACTTCGACTGAAAGGTTATAATTTTGAACCAAATAAGACCTTCCTGCTTCTACGCCAGTAGTTAATATTCGACTCTGTGCAAATACCGCGATCTGTAAGAATTTTCTAAGAGAGATAGGCCATCGTTCATCCTGAAATTAAATCGACACAATTCTTCTTATTTTCAGCGACTGATCAATAATATGAAATCATAAAATCGGCATATCTATCAGGAAAGTATATCTTTGTGTTCGCCAAGGGGAGATAATCATCATATTTAGATGGTTTTCATTGAGGCCTCAACACACTACACTCATTAGAGTCAAAATATTACCTTGTTAATCGCGACACCAATGCTACACAGATCGTGATTTAATAATTATATATGGCTTGCCCAAGCCCACAATGTTTGGGGCAACCCTGATAATCGAACTAACTGTAGTCATAATGTTAATGGCGTGAAATACTATTAATAATAGTAGAACGCTGATAATAATAATAAAAAGTAATGTTATCTTATATGTATCGTGTCCCTTCAGGACGTAAGGGTCATGGATCTCTACAGCTTCCTTCTCTTTGTAACCCTTAGTGAAACTTGTCTTTTGCAATCTATCCTAATCCATGTTCTGACAACCATTTACAAAAGTTCGTTAGGTAGATTTTATACAGCCTTCATCTGTCCCTGTTGCTTTCAATATGCACTGTGAGTGTCAAATTTTCTAAGCCCTCTTTCCTTATTAAGCATGCTAGAGGTTTCACTTATCTCTTGCTGATGCTCTATAAAAGTGTTTTTGTGCTTCTATTTTTTTCCAAAACTACGTTGTTTCGCACGTATTCAGTCCATGTTATTCTCAGCATCCTTCTGTAGAACCATATTTTTATTGCCTCATGTCTTTTTTCTATGCTAGAATAATAATAACAGTAACGTCCTACAGGGGCGAATATCAATATTAATGGTTTGGAAAACTTAATAACAATCGAACTATTTCACTATATTCGTGCGTGCTGGCAAGGATCAATGTGTAAAATCTGTTAATTCTGTCAAGGATCAGAATGCCATTCCACCATTCTTTTGACTCGATTCAACGCCCCCTTTTCCGGCCTTCGGGCTGTCATCAAAGTGTAGTATTTGTTTTCTCATCCGCTTTAAGTTTTAAGGGAAGCCTGTTCTCGACTATTCTAACACTGCGGTCCTATTAATGATATTTATTTTATCACTAATCTACCCGACAGATGTGTATACGCATGTTCAGTGTATGCTACGGAGAAAGTGCAATCATCAAGCCGAGTTCGAATTCGGATCAAGTGTATTGCGTTCACTTTCGCAGAGACGACATTGGCCAACGCATCCATTCATCTCTGCCCATCCAGCTATGGGTTAAATAAAAGAGTAGACTCGTCTCTCCAGGCTTGAGTGAGGAGAAAGACAAATTCTAAATTCCAAACTGGAGAGAAGGCAACTGGAAACCACTCAACTATTTCTACCCAAGAACTCGTGACAATTCACACAGATTAAATTGTTAAATAATAGTTTAGCAGACTATGATTTGTTTTTTTTTTTTTGTAGAAGTGTATCGCTGCTCCAACTTCCTGAGTTTGACCTTTGCGGTCAGATGTAAGACAAAACAAGGCAGCGTGAGAATGATATATAGAGAAAGGGATTTCAGGGAGTCGTGTCTTAACCGTCAAACAACAAAACTTGTTTTATTTTTGTCTGAAAGGTCTCCTCAGTTGGGGAAAGTGAACCCACTGGCTAGTTAGAAGATGTATACGCCGATGTTAATAAACTAGTTAAGTTAAAATTCCCTGTATGGAAGTTCTTTTATATCTGTACTCAAAACATCTAGCGATCACCGACCGTGAAAGAAAAATGTGACTATATTATGATCGAATCGATACCGTCGACCAAGACCTCCCAACATGAGGGGGCTATGCAACACTCCAATCTGTGTTTAAATGGTGCAAGGATTGGCTTGGTAATTTCTTTTAATCACCTTAGAGAAAATTTTCTGTCCGTCATCACATATCTGATGCTAAACTCCTGGAGAGCAACATTCTGTGCCATTTTGGCCTCACGTTTTCCACTGATATGAAGTGATTATATTGAATCAATTGCTAAGTCTACTGCTAGGAAAGTTGGTTCACAAGGTTGTGCCAGACAATTACTCTCGTCAGAATCCATCTTTCACATTTATAAAATTACCATTTGTCCGTGCATTGGATATTGCTGCCATATCAGGTCTGATGCTCCTATTATATATCTCGAGATTCTTGACATAATTCAAAGTGTCTGTAATGTTGATCTTAGGGATCAGATACAAGACAAGATAAGGAAGTCGAATTTGATTGGCTGATCCAGCGTGAGAACGATAAATAAAAGTTTTTTTGGTGTATTGTTTCTGATCCTTGAAACAATGTAGACGTGTTTTTTATCGTGTCTGAAAGGTCTCCTCAGTTGGGGAGAATGAACCCACTAGCTAGTTAGAAGATGGATACGTCGACGTTAATAAACTAGATAAGTCAAAATTATCTTTGTTGAAGTTCTTATCTCTCCGAACCAAAACGACTATCGGTCACCGGTCGGAAGATGACAAAGAGAGAGAAGACTATTTACATATTGTCCTCATCTACGTCGCAATATACAACGACACATTGCACAGTGGATAAAGGCGTTAGTTAGATCCAGTGACAGGAACCAAAGAGTGTGAGTTCAATACCCGGTTAAGGCAGTGGAGAATTAACAGGAGATAACTGACAACTGACAACCATTAAAACATGCCACGTGGAACTAGAACAGTCTACCCCAGTGAGCGAAATAAAGGATTCAGTTCTGTTATGGGATCTTACCCATAATAATAATAATAATAATAATGATCTATTCCATACTTAATAAATACTGCGCCTCAGGAGTAGGCAAGGAGTCAGGAGTCAGTACTTTCTGAGCGACTGTTCGGTTGAACTCTCTGCCTTCGGGCGGGGAGGAACCCGAAGGAGGCTACGCCGAAGGACGGATTCTCTTTTGGGGAGGTAAACCAACCCTGAACCCGTTTATACGAGTTCAATGGGCATATTTTTGGCCGAGCCCACGGATTCGGAGTGCCCACGTTAAAAAGGCCTTGTGCCACATGACGCCCTCGTGGTGGTGGTGGGTGACTGAATATCGTCAGTTGTTCAAGTCGAGTGAGTAGTTCAAGTCGAGTCAAGGGTCGAATCAGAGGCAGTCCGAAACAGAGTCGCGTTCGGACAATTACTACAAGACATCGGAATAGTGATAATGGTCGAGACTACATTGTTCTCTCTACTAAACCTGATTGTTCATACTAACACTTCTACCTCTCTGTATATATTCCTGTTTGTAATATATCTGTGTTATTCCATACCTGTGTTCGAGTTCTTCTTTATTGGTTCTACCTTGGACTATCACCGTGGTACAAGGAACCGGACCATAACAAGTTCGACATTCCAAATACCTGATGAAAGCCGGAGCGTACAACGGCCCAAACGTTGTAATAAATATGGCGACAAAGATAAGGACAATAGTCCGAATAATGTAAATAGTATACATAATACCTCATCTCAGAAATATAGAGAGAAACTGAAAGAGAGAGAAGTTACTCCATATGAGTGAATCGACACCATCGCCAAAGACCACCCCCACCAGAGGGCGGAGCAACAATATGTGATGATATGTAACGTCTGGTAGACGAAAATTTTTATGCGTAAAACGATTGTTTAATCACCTCTGAAATTTGTCAAATTAACGTCGGTCGTAGGAAGGGTATATTGTTCCGGTTCTTCTTCAGAACGTTCTATCTTCATCCTGCGACGATGTTAGAGATTCTGTCTCTCTCTTCGTTGGTCGGGCATTGATATAACTTCTTGTTATTCCGTACTCTTCAGAATGCATATCCTAAGTTCAGCTGGGTTAGTTTCTTTCTTTCTTATTTTGATGCCGACACCGACATCTTCTGGGGCCCGATTCTGCACTCGGTGGGTTTTGAGGCCAACTTCTAGATCAATTCGTGGGCCTCCTAGGTCATTTGTCATTCTGAGGTAACATCGAGTACAAAGCTTACCATATATATCGGCGTACAAGCCTACATTTTAACCTTAAAAAAATACACCCCAGAAATAGGGGCTCGTCTTATATCTCGGGTATAAAATGTGAACCATAATGCCTGTTTTAAGTTGTTAGCATGCGAGATTTGGGGCGGTAGGCTAACCTCTGCCTCACCTCCCTTTTTCGATGGTGTTGGACAAAAACACAACTGCATGTGTTTCTGAAAAATCCGTTTAAAGATCGCATTCTAGATAAGTGAAGCGAATGTATGGTTATCGAGATAATGTCATTCAGGCTACTACAATAAGCTACCGAAAACGTAGCACCTCGTCCTGATGCAATTAACTGACGATATCTTCCTACTGTTTTTTCATTAGAATTTGACTGAAAAAAGTATATGCTTACTGAATTCATGTAATAAATTCCCTACAATACATTATAAAATACAACTTGGGGGGGGTCTTGTACGGCGAATATAGCCTGAAAGCTACATTTTAAATTGAAAATTTGGGGGTCGTCTTATACGTCTAGTTCAGTGTATGCGGGATAGAAAGTGCAATCATCAAGCTGAGTTCAAATTCTGATGAAGTGTATTGCGTTCACTTTCGAAGATACGACATTGGGAAATGCATCCATTCATCTCTGCCCATCCATTTATGGGTTAAATAATAGAGTAGACTCGTCTCTCTAGGCTTGGGTGACAACTAGTCTAGGAGAAGGAGAAATTCTAAATTCCAAAGCGGAATTATACGTCTAGTCGGCATATACGGTATTTAGGTATCGCTTAGAGCGAACCACGTATGTATTGGGATCATTAAAGAACAATCCTCTTGAGATTAACGAGCCGGATGGGCATTCAGTTCGATTCACCCAACTGGTATTTTTCTTATGTTAATCAGATGCTGCATAAAGAAAAAGAGGTTGTGGAGAGCCATGATCTACGTCCGGAAGATATATGGCCTATACATTTTGACAATCCCATTTTCGAATATTTGAAACCCGAAAACCTCTGAAAACCGAATAGTTTTAGTGTGAAGTTTGGTGCACGAAAGGCTTACCTACTTGACCCACGCCACTATGGTATAATGTGTCAACTGGTGTCATGATCGGTCCGAAACTGCCCATCATTCCCTATCCTGGCTGAGCGACCTGAGCCTGCCAAACGTCAGTTGCTAGTAAGCGCTCGTATTGTTTTCTTTTTCTTTTCGTAATTTTTGTGACTTTATACATTGAAAATGTCACAAAGAAAGGCAGATATCCTCATGGTTAAAAGTGAGAAAAAGAAAAGGAAGAATCTCTCGTTATCGATAATACAAAAATGTCGATCTTTTGCAGAAGCTTGATGCTCGTGTTCTTGTACGGCGTTCATTTTCTAAGTTGGATTATGGCGTCGAAACAACCGCTGTGTATGATTTAAAGAAACAAAAAGACAAGTTACTTAAATTTTATAGTGAACGTGATGGCCATAAACTAATGAGCAATAGGAAAATACTACATACGGAAAAATAAACTACAATATGTCTGTAGTTTTTCTTTACCTTGACTCTTTGGAAACGATCTTATTGTCGGGTAAGTGACAGTATTGAGCGACTGTGAGGCATGCGCAGTACATATATTTTAGTGAGCGACTGCGCAACGTCTATTTTTAGTTTATCGTTTGATGCTGTTCATTTGAAAGTTACACAAGGCATTTTTTGTCTGTAATAAATAAAATTTATTCATTACTTATGGTCTTAATTAACCTTCTATTTTATTTATCAGTATATTACTCTATAAATAAACTGTAATAATATTTGTAGTCTTTCATTTATTTCTCGTGGTGTGAGTATTCCTCCGTTTTTGCTGCAGTATTATTTGAGTGTCTAAAAACCGAAAGAAAATATAACTGACCGTAGGGATTTCGGATATGGGATTGTGTACATGTATGATTAACGATTTGGAAAACTGCCGAACTTTGCTCTACAGCAAATGCAAAACTTTTTGTTAGACATTCAGAAAATCTAGAAAGTTCATATCCGGTTCTCGCTGATAAAGTTTTTAAGTTTCAACCTATTTTTTTTGAAAAACCAGAGATCATTCACGACCTGAAGACCATGACATTACAGGGAAAAATTCTTGGAAAAATTCGTTGTTTTATTTTCGAAACTTTTATTTTGATTTTTAATACGTGTTTGTCCTGCTGTGTTTACCACGTTTCTTTGAATGTTGTTTAAAATCACAGGATCCTCCCGCCTCGTGAAGTTGAAGAAGGACAACAAGGTAATGAATGGGGGGAGGATCCTTTTGGTTTTTTTGAAGAACAGAATACAGGACAGAGGAGGAAGCACTCGTGAACAATTCAAAATGTAAAATATGTTCGCCATTTTCTTTTTTTGCGATAGTCCAACTATTTTTTTCCTCCGACCTTTGATTGCCTTTCGTTTCTACATCTTCTTATACCATTATATCTCAACTGGCTTCTGTTTTATTTCTTTTGTTTTCCATTATCTTTCCTCAGCTTTTGTTTGCACTTGTTCTTTAAAGAAGCAAAAATTTCTTTCCGCCATTTTGCATTAATTGTTTTTTTTTTTTTGTTGGGTTATTTAATGTCGACAACATTTTTAGATTTTAGGTTTGTATGAATACAATATGCATTAATAATATTTTTTTTTACAAAGATCTTCTGCAGGTAAATTTTTTTTTCCAAAGATGCTGGTAATATATTTTTAAAAATGTATTGCTAGTAATATTTTCTTTTAAAAAGGGTATTGCTGATATTTTTAATATAAAAATCAATTTTTTATACTTTTATCGTATTTTGACCCTAGTTTGGAAGTTAACTAGTTGCCCATAGCTGGGACCTTAACAGATGCTACCACCCTGGGAACAACAGCAGTTAAGAGGTGGTTCCACGCTCCACAAATCTTCTCGATCGGAGGCTGATATATAGGAATAAAGTGTCATTGCCGATGACGACACACATTATGAATGTACGTGCATTCATAATGTGTTAAGGCACGTCAGGCTATATGACGGTTCCGTATAGGATACAGGTTCGATTCCTGTCGGAGGATGAAAATTTTCTATGAAAATTTCTCGGACATTCAGGCCGGTAAATGTTGTTTAATACTGTTTATTATAAAATAGAGCATTTACTTAAATATTTGTATCTATAAAAAGAATGTATAAACATAAAAATGTCTTAAAATAATTGTCGGACTTTGTCCATTTCATAATGTGTGACGTCATTTGTTTACATTTGTTACAACATGAGCAGATATGAATGTACGTGAGAGATTCAAGGAAGATTAAAGTTTAAAGGCAGTAAAATCGACCTTGCTAACCGAACGCTCCACTGTGGCCGAAACGGCTATATGACGGTTCCGTATAGGATACAGGTTCGATTCCTGTCGGAGGACGAGAATTTTCTATGAAAATTTCTCGGACATTCAGGCTGGTAAATGTTGTTTAATACTGTTTATTATAAAAACAGAGCATTTACTTAAATATGTGTATCTATAAAAAGAATTTATAAGCATAAAGACGTCTTTATATATATATATATATATATATATATATATATATATATATATATATATATATTATATAATAACAAAAGAGAGCAAGGATGGCTTAAAGAAGCTTTATACTGCTTAGAATAATTGATATAAGCGTAGTGACTATTTATAGTCCTCAACAAACGAAAGTGTTCTCCAAAGGGAGGTAATCATAAAGTAAGACTACTTTACTACGAATATATATATATATATATATATATATATATATATATATATATATATATATATATATATATATATATCAAAAGTAATCGGCTGAAAGAGAGAGCTTTTGCAAGTAATAGATAGATAGAGAAATGGAGAATTTTGAGAAGGGATAGCTAGCTAGTTAGCTAGCTAGATTGATAGATAGATGGAGATATAAGAGAAACAAAAAGATTATCATGAATATATATAGAGAGAGACATATGAAAAGATTGATAATGAACAAAATGAATTAGATAGATACATATATCCATACTGAACATGAAATAAATATATAGCGAATGAAATAGGCAGATAGATAAACAGAGAATGAATTAGATAGATAGATAGATAGATAGATAGATAGATAGATAGATAGATAGATACTGAAAATGTTTTTATAATCTTTTATATCTTTCCCTTTTCGATTATTAAAACATTTTTGACTTTTCTTTTATTTCTCTTGATCATTTTTTAAAACTTCGGCTAAAACTTCCATTCACGTTGTTTCTTTGTTTCTTTCCAAACCTTTTCTGAAAACCTCTCATATATTTACTCCATCTTTCTTTTACAAATCTTTGATGAATTTATAAGCTTTTCTTCCTTTACCGCTTTTAAATCTAGAGCTTTCATTCTATCCTTTCCGTCTATTTCTGTCTTGGAAAAGATATGTTCCTATGCGCAACCCCCAACCCCACAAGCAAGAATATGCATCATAATCGCTTCTGAGCTTTTATCGGTAAATTCAGTGAGACCAAAATTACACTGCTGGAAGCATAGCTAAAAAACAAACAAGCAAAAAAAGAGTTGAATGCATGTTACATGAAACTGTAATGGAAACAATATTTGCATTCCTCTGCAAATTTCCATCGCAGTCAGCAGAAGTAAATACACAATACCTCACCACGACTGCCGACAAATATGCGCAAGCATGTGGCAGAGGATAGAATACATTTCTCCAGCAACAATATCAACCACAATAATCAACATCTAAAGAAATGGTAATGGGATTGTAATATAAGCCGTTTCCTAATAAGGAAACATTCGACATTCTTTGACCGAGTAGTCACTACACTGTGGATATCTTTCTCTTAAAATATTTTTAGAAAAATACGTTTTTGAATTCCTGTAGCTTTTATCGCTCTTACCGGTACTGATTGGGTTTCCATTCCTGAATTTTTGTTTGAAGTCATGTGGAACATCAACATAGTGTTTATGACATATTCTGATTGTGAGGATCGAACTCGCTACTAAGTTTTAACTAATCAACCGAGACAAGCTTGCTAACCCTTACAACAAGTTGACGTACCCAAATGATTTTCCGTCAGGTTGGTAATGGCCGTTTCCTTATAAGGAAACATTTGACATTCATTGATCAAGCAGCCAGGATTTTATAAAAAAAATATAAAATAAAACAATAAGCATTCAAGCTTACAGCCACATCATTTTGAATTACCGGTTCCGGATGATCACTGAAGTTAAGCAACGCGGAACCTGGTCAGTACCTAGATAGGTTACCTCTTGCGATTGTCAGGTGTTTTAGTCTTGGGTGGTGTAATGGATAATGGCTTAGAATTATTAATCGGAGAACCAAGTTCCAATTCCCGTTGAGTTCGTAATATTATGGGCAAATTCCCTTGGAAAATCTATGAATCCATCTTTTATTCCCCCAGTTATGGGTTAATTATTAAAACTTCTGTCGATAGGCATTATCATCTAAAAAAAAAAAAATGAGCAATCTAAAAATATTTCCTGCTTTAAATAAACTAGAAAGGGTTGATAAGCTGTAGAAAACTAATCAATAAAATACTGATTAGCTACACAGGTATGTCTTTTAAATTTAGTTACATTCTCTAGAATATAAACCTATATAAATTACTGTGGCCACAAAGGGAAGAATCAGTTTATATATTGATTTTAATATAGAATTGATTTCCCACTTTATATCCACATTATACTTTCATGTTTTTTTTATATCAAATTCATATTAGGTATAATTTCGCCTCTTGTATGGGTTAATTAGTAAGGCTTTTATCACTAAACCATTATTATTTATTATTACATTCTAAAAGATATTTTCTGGCTTTAAATAACTTGAAGTGTTGATAAGCCGTAGAAAACTAATGAATCAAAAATCATTTTTTTACGAAATTTTGATCATTAACATTGCTGAGAAACCTTTTTTCGCGACGATAAGTGGATAGGAATAACAATATACTTTTCACACGTATTTAAACACATATTGCGATAATTTTACCAGAGAATACCAAAACTTTCAAAACGATTTTTGTCCGTTGATTCATTTAAAAATACTACAAATTCGTTTTGCAAATCGTCTGGAAGTGTCTTGGGATTAATACGAAATGTATTCCGAATAAGTTTATATTCAAGTGGGGGTGGTGATACAGAAATCAAATCAGTTTCCTACCGGGTAAGAGGACAAGACGCCCGAGGACGTTCATAAAAATTGGACCGAGAGTGCGTGTGACTTGATCCAGTACACTGTGAATTTCTCTCGAGCAGTTTGGGGCGTAGTCGTACTCCGGTTTGAGAAACTCTGGAATAATAGAATCATTTTTTTTCTATGTGACCTGTTTAAAACTGTCCGTTATAGCGTTGCTTTCACGTAGTGATACTCAAAGGCATATTAAGATGAATTCACTACGACAAAAACTTATTATGAATATGAAAGAAGACCATCTCAATTTTTCAAATGAATCTGCTTGCCTTGAATAAGCATTTGAATCATGTTTGTTTTCGGCTCGCGACCAAACACCGAACAGCCTGCCTCATCACGTGTCAGGTCATTATTTGTGTAAGAGGGCCCAGTTTAATTTCGGAAAAAAAAAAACATTTTAGCGATTATCTATGGCATACCCGAAGTGTCAACAACCTTACTCTCGTGTCTTGTGTCGTCGGCTTTATCTCGTATTCAAGAATGTAATTTCTTCCTTCTGATGCTTAGTTTCAGATGGTGGCGTTGATGAATATGTTTTGTGTGTGTGTGTGTGTGTGCGTGTACGTACGGTGGGTGAGTGATCGCTTGAGAATGCCTTGTGCTGTAAGCTTGGATCTACAGGTGGTGTACTGAACAAAGGATCGGAATTGAAATCGGAGATCCGAGTTCCATTTCCAACTGGGTTAGTTATATTAACTTAGCCGCAAATATTTTTTTTACCTCAGATATGGATTCATCTCTTCTCCTCTCCAGATATGTGTTCAATAGTAGGATTCAATCAATAAATTCATTGTTATCTCGTTGTCCCTCCACACGTAAAAGTTCTTACAATCTAAAAATATTTTCTCGCTTGTGGCTTGAAATAACTTGCATAACATTGAAAAGCCGTAAAAAATAAATCAATAAAGGAATATATATATATATATATATATATATATATATATATATATATATATATATATATATATACCAGTAAATATTATATATATCTGTAAATATTATATATATATATATATATATATATATATATATATATATATATATATATATATAAGTATACCCATTTCCTTCTTTCGTCCTTGGTATGACGATAAACTACATCCAACAGCAAGGCCTCTGACCAAGAGGTTTTGAGTAGCATGGAACTACCCCTTAATTGCTGGCGTTCCCAGGTCCACCCGGGGTGGTAGCACCTGTTAGGGTCCCAGCTATGCGCAAACAGCTAACCCTCAAACTATGCTCAAAACCCTATGAATGTGAAACAATAAGTTTTAGTACTAGCAATATATTTTTTTTTTAAATTATTGCCAGCAATAAATTTTTGAAAAAAGATATTACCAGCAATACATTTTTGAAATAAAAAAAATACCAGCAATACATTTGGGGAAAATAATTTTACCAGCAATACATTTTTGAAAAAGAAAATATTACCAGCAATACATTTTTGAAGAAAAAAAATACCAGCAATACATTTTTGAAAACAAAAAAACAACATATTACCAGCAATACATTTTTGAAAACAAAAAACAACATATTACCAGCAATACATTTTTGAAAACAAAAAACAACATATTACCAGCAATACATTTTTGAAAGCAAAAAACAACATATTACCAGCAATACATTTTTTTAAAAAAGAATTACCTGCTGTACATTTTGGGAAAATAATTTTACCAGCAATACATTTTTGGAACAAAAATATTACCATCAATAAAAATCTTGTCGGCTTTAAGTAACCCATTGACGCCGATATGCAGTAAAACAAACAAAATTAAACCATTCACTATCTTTTCTTTATTACCACTGAATTTCGTGATTTTTTTGAAAGATAGTGGAGTAGTTTCCTGTTACCTTTCAAAGCTTGCGTGCATGTTTACCCTGTCATCTGACCCATTGTTTCGACGGAAGAGAACGAGATTCATTCTTTTTACAAGGGCCTTTTTTCGAAAGGGAACCCAGGAAAATCGGCCTGAATTTTTATTCAGCTAGTCGATTCTGCTTTCCGTGATGATAACTTTTTCGCTACCGATATTGCCTACCTCAGATTACATCGTCATATAACTTCTTTTGTCATTTTATGATCAAGATATTATTATACACTAAAATGTATTAATCGCTTTTCTCTCTACTACCTCCTATGGTGATTTTCTAAGCTTGGATTAGATGTGGCCGACAGTATGGAGCCCCCAGTGAGGATCGAACTCGCTATTCAGTCGTAATTGTTTTAGCGAGACAACCATTATACCACGTAGAAGCTTCGAAACTTCGATATTTGTATATCTAATAGTTCTTCTTGTATAAATATTTGAACAGATAACCATGTCGTATGTGAGAATGATATTAGAATATTCCAGAATATGTACTGACAACAAACCGCCTGTATACGGATAGAAAATGAATTCAGTAAATATACAAAAAATAGAAATGGTTTTAAGATAAGTTTTTTTGAGTCTTTTGAACTTATTCAACCTATACAGTTAAGTGATTTCGGGAGAATTAGAAGTCCTTTCAGGATTCATTATTGGCGGCCATAATCTTAACAATATGATACAGTGTTGATAGCATACACAGAAATGAACCTACAAGACCCCCTATAGAAGGTGATGAAGGAAAGCGAGAAGAAAAGACTACACATTAATTACTTGAAGACGGTATGCATGTTTCTTAGCAAGAGGGATGGCCCCAAAATGCAAATTACAAATTGGAGATACCAACATCAAATGAGTACAACAACTTAAATATCTGGGAAGTGTTTTAACAGAGGACGGAAAGTGCGACACTGAAATCCGAAGAAGGATTGTGACAGTGAAAGATGCTTATCAGAAGTTCAGCGAAGTATTAAGAAACAGGAAAATTTCGCTAGAAACAAAGTATAGAGTACTGAAGTTTTATGCAATATCAGTCTTTCTATATGGCAGTTAATGTTGACCAATTTCCTCACAGATGAAGAAAAGACTTGAAGAAATGTGGCTCTACAGAAGGTTGTTGAGAATACCATGCATCGAAGACGCTTCTACTTGACATTACGAAGAGACGATTGAAATTTCTAGAGCACATAATGAGGAAAGAATGATTGGAAAATTTGATACTCACAGGACAAATTGGTGGTAAGTGAGGTAGAGAAAAGCAACACATAACCTACCTGGCGAGCTTGTGTGAATGGATGGCGAATAAGCGTTTAGTGGCGATGGTAAAAAAACCAGCGGTATTAAGAACTACAGGGTATAGGAAAATGTGGAGAGCTGCGTTCTATTATATTGAATAAAATTGGTGGGAAGACTCATCGTTCTCGTATACCCCTTTCTGTTCTAGTGTAATTGCTGAATTCATTTGTTATTCGTATGCAGACCTTTTGTTCTCAGTAAATGTTCCAGGTTATTCGCATGGTTATAGTAATGGCAATATCAGCTACTTCTTATGAAATCTTTTTTTGGTATTCATTAACCGAATAGCTTCTACTTGTCACGATTGAAATTTATAAAATCTTCCTCTTAAAACATTTTTTCGGGAAAAGAGATTTATCGAATCTAGTAGCTGTTATTACTATTTCCCGTACTGATGGAGGGAGTTTCCTTTCTAATCTTTTATTTGAAATAGTGGAGAAAGCCAACGTTTTCTTTATGATATTATTTTCTCTTGGAGTTACATGTACTATCCATTTTAGTATTTACTGCCGTTGGTAGTCCGCAAGTGATAATGGTTTCAGCTATCTGGCATGGTTCTTTGTGACACTGTAGCGGCAGTCCACAAAGTCAGCTTTTACAAATAAATCGTCATCAAATATCCTCTCGTCGCGGAATCATGGTTATTAAACTGGGTTGACATTTCTAGGGAACATAATGAAGAAAGCGGGCTTGGAAAATTTAATACTCACAGTACAGATTGAAGACTAAGGAGAGAGAAAATTAACGCATAACCGGCGTAGCGAGCTTGAGTAAATAAATGGCTGAGTGATAAAAAGACAAAATTTATTTAGAGATACAATGGATAGAAAATTGTGAAGTGCCATAATCGCCTACGTCCCAAAGAGACACGCCACGTAAAATAAGTTTTAAGTATATAGTAATACAAAGTATATAGTTTTACTAAGTCTTTAAGTATATAGTATTACTAAGTATATAGCATTACTAATACTTTAAGTATATAGTATTAGTAAGTATATAGTATTACTAAGTCTTTAAGTATATAGTATTACTAAGTATATAGTATTAATTAGTATATAGTGTTACTAAGTTTTTAAGTATATAATATTACTAAGTATATAGTATTAATAAATCTTTAAGTCTATAGTATTACTTAGTATATAATATTACTAAGTCTTTAAGTATACAGTATTACTAGGTATATAGTATTACTTAGTACATAGTATTACCAAGTCTTTAAGCATATAGTATTATTAGTCTTTAAGTATATAGTATTAATTAGTATATATTATTACTAAGTATATAGTATTACTTAGTATATAATAATACTAATTTTGTAAGTATATAGTATTACTGAGTATATAGTGTTACTAAATCTTTAAGTATATAGTATTACTAAGTATATAGTATTACTTAGTATATAGTATTACTAAATCTTTTAGTATATAGTATTACTAAGTCTACACATATCAATTCTGTTTTCATTTGGCCATTCGATTAATTCTATAAGCGTATTGCGATATCCAAGTCCGTTTCGAAATCTTCACAGCAACTTCTCGACGGAAAAAATTAGGCATGACACTGGACGAAAACGGAATCTCCGCTCCTGCCTTTATTTCCTTAGTCGAAGAATTTTCTAACAAGGTGAAAGTGCAATGAGATATTTTTTTTCTTTGACTCAGCCTGACAGGTCTATTATTTTGCACCACAAAAGACCATAAGAATAGCACCGTCCTGCTCGGCTTTGCCTCTTCACACAGTGAAATCCATTATTCATGACATTTGTAAGGCACTTCGATGCAAGCTGACTTGGAATTTTTTTTTATTTGCCGGGCGAACGGGTTCTGCATATATGAAAAGAGAAGAGGAACAGATCAAAGAAAAACAAAAACATGGGAAAAAAAAATAAGGGTATTGGTCACAAGATGTTTGTGCATGGTAGGTTTTTGCAGAGCAGGTATCTGTGTTGGGGTAAGCTTATAGAAAATGATGTCGAATGTGAAGGGTTTTGTTATATCTATATGAGAATATTCAGAAAGTGAGTGCGTCAAGATGATGAAACGGAAAACGCCAGAATGGAAGGAAAAAGAATGAAAAGTGTTTTTTTTCTAGATAAAAGAGACACGTGGAAATGAAATGACAAGCGGGAAGAAGGAAAGAGGAAAGCCGGAAAAAAAAAAGAAAGTGTCCGGCGGGGGGGAGATAAGGACAGGTGTTAAATATGAAGACTGTATAGCGAAACTGAAAGAATAAAGAAAACTAGAGGGGGATAAAAGGGAATTAAAAGAGAAATCGGAAAAAATAACACTGAAGAGAAAGAAAGAAAGAAAGAAAGAAGAGAAAGAAAAGAAAAGAAAGAAAGAAATTGGAAAATACATAAAGACTGAAAATGGAGAGGGAATAAAAAAGCAAATATGAAAGGAAAAAAGAGACGAACAGATATAGGAAAAAAAGAAGAAAAGAAAGAGAAATCAGTGAAGAAAAAAAAGAAGGAAACGAAAAAGCAATGAGAATAAAAAAGGCTTAGAGCCACATTACGTCGAAGCATTGCTTCCCGTCCTATCAAGGAATTTAGGCAACGCCGAGCCTGGGCAATACCAAGATGGGTGACCGCATCAGAATACGAGGTGTTGTAAGTTTGGATGTGCTGGTTGTGCACTGGATAATGGCTCGGGATTGTTAATCGGAACGCTCAGTTCGAATTCCCGTTGGATTCGGCATATTCATTTGCGCGTAAATAAAGGTATGAATCCACTTATTCTTCTAGTTATTGAATAATTAGTAAGACTTGTATCACTAAACCATTATTAGCTCTTCTAAATCTAAAAATATTTCTTGGCTTTAAATAACATTCAAAGGGTTGATTAGCCGTAAATAAAGAATCAATCAATAAATAAATTATGAAGTTAATAAAAGAAGAAAGAAAGAAATTTATTTATAAAATGTTTAAAATAGATTGACGGAATAAAGAAAGAAAGGTGGATTGAAATACCTGGGCATATGGTAATAAAGAAAATGAATGAAAGAAAGAAAGAAAAAAAGAAAGAAAGAAAAAAAAGAAGTCAAGAAAGTTGAATAAAAATGCAGACGACAAATAAAAAAAAACTATGAAAGGAAAAAATGGAAAAGAAGAAGGAATTAAAATATCAGCGTGAAGAAAGAACGAAAGAAAAAAGAAAGAAAGAATGAAAGAGAGAAAGAAAGAAAAAGGAAAGAAGGAAAGACGTACGAAATGAAGAAGGACAAAAAAACAAAAACAAAAAAAAAAAAAAAACTGGATGGAATATTCCGAAAGAAGGAAAAGAAAGAAATTATTGAAAAGTAGAAAGGAAGAAAAAAATAAAAGGAAAATAAAGGAAAATAGAGGAAGGAACGAGGAAAATCATTTGGGAAAAAATCTTTAAAAAGAATGAACAAGAAAAGAAAGAAATTTGGTCGGAAAGGAAAAAGAAAAGAATGAAATTATTGAAATAAATAAATAACGAAAGAAAAGAAAGAAAACGACAAAGAAAAATACCAGTAAAAAGTAAAAGAGAATGATAAAAGAAAAGAATGAAAAGTAAGAAATAAATGAAAAGAAAATCATCTGAAAAAATAACGACGCGATGAAATAAAAGTGAGTGGTCAATGAAATAAAGACAGAAAGAAAGAAAAAAAAGGAAGATGAAAAGAGATAAAGAAAAATAGATAATGATGGAATATTACTGAAATGACAAAAAAACAAAACAAAATTAAATCGCCGAATGAGAAAAAGCTGAAAGAATGATGTCTAAAGGAAAGAAAAACAAGAATGTTTTGAAAAGAATCATTTTTGATTGAAAGAACATATGTATTTGAAACTGGTGGAGATGGAGATTTACTGAACGTAAGGCTGGCATTCCTAAACTCAAAAACCCAACTGGATGAGTTGACAAACTTCGAGCATCTTAATTCAGTGGTTTGCAAATGATTTGACGAGCACGCAAGCCAACTTCAAAGAGCATTTCAAAACTTTGGTCTTCGGATTTTACGGCTAAAATACAACTAATCGCTGAGAACGTCTCATGTTTCTGATATGAATTAATAGATTTTTATTTATAGATCGTAGGTCTTAAATTGGATTACCTGTTCCATGGCTGGCCTTCTTCTATTGCGTCTGCCGAATTTAATGAGGAAATATTTTCCTACGCATACATACTCACAAACACAAGCGTGCAAATATAGATGCAGGCATACTTTTGAGTGAAGTTGAACGTGTATATGTCTGCATGGTTGGGCAACTGCATGTGTCTAAACCTGTATGCAGATAATTACGTATTTACTAAATTGTGCCACTTATATATATATATGTATATATATGTAAGCAAATATATGGATATAGATCCGACAGTATGAAGAAAAATATACTGAAAAAAAAAAAAAGCACGAAAATCCTAATATGCGATTATGCTGTTTTAATGTTTAATGTCGACGTCAGACGACGACAATTTCAAAATTTCTAATATCTGTTTGGATTGGACATTTATGTTCATAAAACATCATATGTTGAATTATATATGGTACTATTCAAATTATGTTTTTGTGAATATGTCCTGATGAAGATGGCTTCAGACCGAAACGTCCGATGTTGACATTAAATTTAAAACAGCATAATCGCATATTAAATTTTCGTTTGTTTTTCAGTATATTTTTCTCCATATATATATATATATATATATATATATATATATATATATATATATATATATATATATGTGTGTGTGTGTGTGTGCAAGCTTAAATTCACCTTCATTCCTGCCGAACGGCATAGCGGTAGATTCTCCGACTGACGAAAATTCAGCCGGTTTCAATCGACATCTAGCCACACTGTTGAGCTATGATATCGCTAAACTGTATGTCTGTGGATGACAATATATATGCCCCTGAAAAATTATTTCGGTTGCGCTCTCTGGAGAGAAAGCGTGAGTTTGTAAACAGTGACGATTACTGCTACTAATGCAATAGTCTTCGATAAAACGAATCGAGTTCTGCCAGTTACTGGCGTGTTTATCTAAAAAATAAATACGCTTAAATTCACTTTCATCCCCTTCAGTCTGTCGGTGGATGACACACACACACACACACACACACACACACACACACACACACACACACACACATATATATATATATATATATATATATATATTTATGAATATAAATGACAATAGAAAAAACTAGTTATTGCTGAAGCGTTTCGTCCAATGTGGACTTTCTCAAAGCAAAAAACGAAATGAATTTAATTAAAGAAAGTAACTAATTATAACATAAAAACTGAATGTTCTTAGCAACTGGAGGAATGTAGAGAACACTATTTTCATATTGTTAACTGAAAATAACGTCAGTTATTGTCACGTGTGGAGAATATTGTCATTATAACTGTGTTGGCAGATTCAACCATTTTCTTTTGATTTTACGATATTGTTGTGTACGTTTGTTTGGGAGAGCAGTAATTTTGTTAAGAAAGGTGAAATAGGGAAAAAGCAACAATTTTTACTCTTATCTTTTCTCTTATATTACTTCAAACGTTACGTCTAGTGTACCCCTGTGTTTGAAATAGACGACCCGTTTTTATATTTTGAACAGTGTGTTTTAGGTCTACTAGCCTGCGCGCTCGAAAAAAACTAATAAGGAAGAGTATCCGAGAAGTTAAAAATAAAAAGAAAGCTGGGCGTGTATTTAAAACACAAGTGTCTACTAAAAATGAAGCTTGAAGTAATAAAAAATGCCTAGTTAAAAATAAATCGATTGAGTCCTTAGAAATTACTTTGCTTACGTTTCCGATATGAAACCGAGCAGATATGGACTGTGGCTCTTTCTCTCTCTGACAGAGCGGTCTAAATCATCCCTGATCAAACGTTAGTTTCTACTATAAAGGAAAACACATTTTCAAACCCTACCAAACCCCTTTCTTAAGTATTATCATGTGCGCAGGCCAGTAGAGGTAATGTTTAAAATATAAAGAAAGGGCGTTTATTTCAAACATGAGTATCCACGAAAGAAAAACTGATGAAATTATATATATATATATATATATATATATATATATATATATATATATATATATATATATATGATATGTCCCCCAAGGGATATATTTGAACGAAGTAGCTAAGTGGTTTTGGCTACTATAACCAAGTAGAATACGGTAGCAGTAATCGATTGGTACGCGTCGTAGTCGCAGGTAAGAAGTGTAGTTCAATGGCGTAGTCCAATGGGTTTCGTTATAGACTTAGCTCTCAGACTAAGGCTCTCTAACTCTCCTAGACGCCCGTCGGTATTTATGACGGACACCAGACAATCATATTCCAGTGAGGGGGAACGCAGATGTATGCATATTCCATTATATCAATATATATGTAACCGAATGGGTAAATATAAATATAGGTAGGTATACGAGCGAGCGATCATGTACAAATATATATAAATACTCTATCGTGTAGGAAAAAAACAATAATCAATGTTAAGTAACAGAGCTATTTAATAGGTATATATATATATATATATATATTCATAAATATACATAATATACTAGCAGAATGGCCCGGCGTTGCTCGTGCTTGATTAAAATTAGTACGACGAATACAGCAATCGCTATCACTTGACTTAAAATATTTTTGCCCTTCCTTGCCTTTAGAGAAGTGCCCTTTGCCGTGCTGATGTTGGTACATGCCTTACTTCTTGCCTATATCACACTGCCAACTTTTTCTAAGCTCTATAGTAAACATTAAATCTGTTACGAAAAAAGAACTAAACAAAATAAACACAATACGATCAGCTTTAAAAAACCTGGAAAAAACATTTTTAAGGGTTGACGGATTGTCGATTTGCACTCTGTTTAGGGGAGGTGCTCAGAGTTGAAACTTCACATGATGACTCCCAATGGCCTCTTCATAAATCCGCTCGGTTTTCGCTAAAAACCGACATGCGGTTCAGACGCAATCTGGGCGTATCGGTTTATGGGTTTTATCGATTTTCCGCGCTGTTTAGGGGTCCGTGGTCATGAAACTTCTGGACAACACTTCTAATGGTAGACTCTAAGAGGGTGTCAAATTTGGTTGAAATGCGATCATTCCTTCTGTAAGCAGAATTTTTTCGATTATCGATTTTTTCGATTATCGATTTTTTCGATTATTGATTTTTTTGTAACCTGATTCCGAACTCAAAAATCGGGATCCGTCATCTCCTTACGGCAGCCATTTGCAAACTTGTGTTGAAAACCGCATCGAAATCGGGTCAGAAATGCGGCCTGGGCGAGGTAACAACGCCCACGACAGACACACAGACAGACAACATGAGAAATATAGATAGTAGATTAATTGCACAACTCGAGTTTCCTGCCGAAACAATTTTCAAGTGCTGTAATTATTTTGATAAAAATAACTATAATAAATTCAGCACTGAAAAAATACCGGCATGGAAAATCATAGACCGACCCAGTTGAGATGAAAACGGAAGTCAAAATCAAACAGTGAGTTTGGGAATCTCGACTTGGATCATAACAAAAGAGAAAGCCGGTAACAGGCCGAGAATGACAATTACTCACATAAACTAGGTAAACAAAGATAGTCTATAGTAACCAAAGATTTGGTTTCACAGGAAACCGCCCCGTTTTGACCAACGGGACTTAAAAAGCAATATCGAGGTCAGCCTTGTTCACAACAAACCAAGCTCGCCACTTTCACCCACCTTTTGCTGAAATCTGTTGATAACAAACGCTTTCTATCAATCCTGACCTTCATCTTGAACTGATGCTCAAAGAATCTGAACAGATCCTGATGAGAATAGCGTTTGTATCACAAGATGTCCTTCTTCTGTGTCGTCCGAATCACCATTCTTGCCACGGCTAGCAGCATTAGAAACACCATCCATTTCACCCCAGAATATGCTGACGGCATATTATCGCACGCGTATACAAGATCAATGGGCACGAGATTTTAGGGAGTGATACGAGCCGTCAACTCGCCGGCATAGGGGAGCACCTGAGGAGAATGGTAGAGGGGAATGCGAAGACGTTTCTTCGAAGCCAAAAATCACACCGAAGACAGCCAGGCACATCTGAAACAGGCAGCTAGCTCGAAAGTGACGATTCTCGTCGGCTGTGTATATTCTATTAGGTTGGTGCAAAAATAATGACGTAATAATGTCGTTTTCTGGCGTTAAAAATACGTCAAAAACGACATTATTACGTCATTATTTTTGCACCAACCTAATATTTAGATGAGTCCAAATCATATTCTAGAGAGGTGTGTTCATGGCCACAGAAATTACATAGCAGTTTAGTACTCTTTTCTTATTTTCTAACGAAATTTTCCTGTTTCTTAATACTTTACTTATCTTTTGGAAGGCAGTTTTCGCTATCCTAATACGCCTTCGGATTTCAGTGTCGCACCTTTCGTCTTCTGTTAAAAAGTGGACTCTCTTTCTTCTATGTGCCATGTCCGTTCATGGCTCTTCACAACGTTATGAACTCTGTAGCTCTTTTTGTTATAACTCCTAAATCCTCTTCTGAAACCCATTTACCAGTTAGGTAGGTTATGCGATGTTTTCCTCTATCCCGCTTATCCTGTGTGCGTCAAATTTTCCAAGCCCTTTTTCCTCATTATGTACCACACTTCTATCGCTTTAAGTTTCTTCTTTATATGTGTAGAGATTGTTCAGCTTTCACATCCAAGTAGGAGGATTACATAACAGTTCATTAATTTCTTTCTTTCTAACGAACTTTTCCTGTTTCTTTATACTTTGCTTAGATTTTGGACGGCATCTTTCGCTATCCGAATGCGTCTTCTGATTTCAGTGTCGGACTTTCTGTCCTCTGTCAAAACACTTTTCAGATATTTAAATTATTGTACTTGTTTGATTTTGTTATCTTCAATTTGTTATTCTGAATATTCGGCTGTTTCTTTTGCTAACATCCATGAATTCTGTCTTGCATGATTTGATGAATTCATTGCTTTGTTTTTTTACGGCTTACCAACCTTTTGAAGGTTATTTAAAGCTAAAAAAATATTTTTAGATTGTGAGAAATTTTCGGAGATAATGATTTTTACCGATACAAATGCTACTAATTAACCCTTAGCTGGGGGGGAAAAAGCTGGATATATATCTTTTCTAAGGATATTTGAGCGAACCCGACTGGAATTGAAAATTCGTTATCCATTGTACTTACCCGTACATCTAGGCTTACGGCACCTGGTATTTCAAAGAGGTCACTCATGTGGGTACTGGCCAGGCTCGACGTTGCTTAACTTCGGTAATTGTATGAGAACCGACGTTTCGACGTGAAATGGCCGTAATCAAGTTTACTTGCAATTAATGTTTCTTTTCGCTTTACTTCACTATCTTCTTTAGGAGTTCTTGTCGTTTCCTTTTTGTGTCTGTTATTAACACTGTGGGGAGGTACGGTGGAGTAATGGATAGCGGCTCGGATTGAGGAATCGGAGAGCCGAGTTCGAAATCCATTACATTCACTTACGTGCTAATACTCTTGGGAAAGGTTTGAATCTTCTTCTTTTCCCACTAGCTATGAGTAAATAGCATGACTGACCGGCTTCTATATCCTTGGGTGGCAACTGATCAACCCCAGAAAGAAATGGCAACCTACAAAAGGAAAAAATATCACTCGTCAGTCATGTATCGACAGATACATGATCGCATAACTTATGGCACATAATTGACTGCCTATTAACACTGTGTCGTTTTCATGTCTAATATTGTTATTGTTGTAGCTGCCAATAATGAATTCTGGTTGGACTCTCCCAGTATTGCTTCACTGTAAAAGTAATTAAAACGATATGATTGAATAATGGGTATATATTAAGGCAAGTCACCCCAAGCAAGGCGGGTGTGCCGCTAGCACGCAAGGGGTTACAGAGGATTGATAACAAGAGTAAAGAGACATGTTTGAGTAAAGTATACAGAGAAAGACGAGGAACAGGCTCAGGGTTTCAGATGTTGATTGACATTACACTTGACTTGTTACAGTTTTTTGTGTATATGTATGAATATATATAACTAGTGAGTTAGTCCAAATGCCTTCACTCGCTTTATAGTCCACCAATAGAAGGTTAACCAATCAGAAGCCGCAGAACATTGCATCCGTCGTGTATAAAGGCGGCCATTTTTGTTTATCCTACGCGAATGACCAGTGCCAACTTGTCAGGCGAAGATGACAGAAGGAAGTACTACGCTCTGCTACTTTGCTGCGATATCCACTGCTAACCTGAACTACGCTTTCCTACTGTCTCCGAAATATTCACTGCTAACCTCTGGATTCTATACTCGAAGACGACCGTCATGAATTAATAACATGACTATTTGAAGATTATAGTCATCGAAGAAGCAAGTAAGGGGAAGGGAATTCCACAGACGGGGAGTGCGACAGAAGAGGCTGTTTGAGTAGAAGAGACGGTTACATTTAATCGTTTTGATAGTGAAAGGGTGGGACCGAGATGTCAGCCTGGTAGCTCGCTTAAATCCCTGTAGCCTGGGAACCAGCGAAAGTAGCCTGTCGGAACACTTGTGGGATAGCGATTGTAGACTAGATGCCAGATCATGTGCTTATCATCTTGAATATTTTTCTCTGGATTTTGTCGAAGACCTCGAGACGTACAGCAGGAGCACCAGCCGGTGAGGATCGAACTCGCTACTCAGTCGTAAATGTTCTCCGAGGAAAAGCTAGCTAACCATTACACCACTTCGAGGTACCCTCCTTATATCGTATGTTTTTGAGTTGCATAGACCAACAATGAAAGAAAAACCCTTACAAGTTTAAAAGTATCAGTTGTTTACAAATCTCCCCCTTTTTTTTCTCGTTTCCAGTTTTGCGACTCTAACTACAGCTTCTCACCCGAAAGTAAATAATATTAGATAATGTTTCTCCCTTGCAATTTCTTTCTATTTGTGATGCATTTGAATTTGGTTCCACGTGGGAAATACAAATTTTCCGTTACTGCAGTAATTTTACAAGTCATTACGTTAGCTCTTAATAGTAGCTTCACCAACACAAATAGCATCGGTCGCGTAACTACCTTTGTACACATTCCCAGGGGCAGGTAATTATCAACTCTATCACAACAGGTTGGATAGTTAACGAACGTGGAAAATCTATTTTATGAGGCCATGTATAAATTTTACATTTGAAATTTGGTTAATCTTAGATCGGATTCAGCAATTAATGCAGGCAAGCCTTTACTGATATTCCTTGTTGATATTTTTTATAGAATTTTCCGTCTTACAACCTTGATAGCAATCTTTTTACAAGATAGGCTTTATCACGTTTTTTTTTTTTTTTTTTACGCTCTTTACATTGTTTGGGCTGTTGTTCTAATTGGTATTGTCATATTCACGAGATTTTGGCCGTTGTACGCTCCGGCCTTCTTCAGATGATATACGTTGGTATTTCGAACCGAATCCTTTATTTCGTTCACCGAGGTAGATAGTTCTAGTTCCACGTGCCATGCCTCTTCTGGCTATCTCGGTTTCAGTTATTTTTCTTTAGTAACTGAACTCCCCAATATTTTTTTTTTAATCATATCTGCTGTGACCAGGTATTGAACTCACAACTCCTTTGGGTCAAGTCACTGAATTACTTTAACCAACACTAAGAACCTGGGCTGAGCAATGACATATAGGGAAGGCTTCGCGTGAGAAATCAATAAAAAATATTGAGCGTACATTGATTGGATGGCATATATATATATATATATTCTTAAATGGCTTCGACAAATCGAGACATTCATGTAGATGCCACTCATGGTCTTAACCCTGTTCAAAAATGGCTAAACTGTCAGCTGT